GGATCCCAAAATATCCCCCAAGGATCCCAAAATATCCTCCAAGGATCCCAAAATACCCTCCAAGGATCCCGAAATATCCTCCATGGATCCCAAAATATCCTCCAAGGATCCCAAAATATCCTCCAAGGATCCCGAAATATCCTCCAAGGATCCCAATGTCCCCCTGATGATCCCGATCCCAGTCCCGATCCCAACCTCAATCCCAATCCCAATTTCCCCATGTCCCGCTCTGACCCCATTCCCTCCCCTGGATCCCATTATCCCAATATCCCATTATCCCAATATCCCATTATCCCAATATCCCATTATCCCATTATCCCATTATCCCATTATCCCATTATCCCATTATCCCAATATCCCAATATCCCAATATCCCAATATCCCAATATCCCAATATCCCAATATCCCAATATCCCATTATCCCAATATCCCAATATCCCATTATCCCATTATCCCAATATCCCAATATCCCAATATCCCAATATCCCATTATCCCAATATCCCATTACCCCAATATCCCAATATCCCAATATCCCAATATCCCATTATCCCATTATCCCATTATCCCAATATCCCATTATCCCAATATCCCATTATCCCATTATCCCAATATCCCAATATCCCATTATCCCATTATCCCATTATCCCAATATCCCATTACCCCAATCCCAATCCCATTATCCCAATCCCAATATCCCAATCCCAATATCCCAATCCCAATCCCATTATCCCAATCCCATTATCCCAATCCCATTTTCCCAATCCCAATCCCATTATCCCAATATCCCAATCCCATTTTCCCAATCCCAATCCCATTATCCCAATATCCCAATCCCAATATCCCAATCCCAATATCCCAATCCCAATCCCATTATCCCAATCCCATTATCCCAATCCCATTACCCCAATCGCAATCCCATTACCCCAATCCCAATATCCCATTATCCCAATCCCATTATCCCAATCCCATTATCCCAATCCCATTACCCCAATCCCATTTCCCCAATCCCATTACCCCAATCCCAATATCCCAATCCCAATCCCATTATCCTGTCCCGTGTCCCATTCCCGGCTCTCTCCGGTGCCGTTCCCGGCTCCTCCCTCGTCCCATTATCCCAATCCCATTACCCCAATCCCAATCCCATTTTCCCAATCCCAATCCCATTATCCCAATCCCATTATCCCAATCCCATTATCCCAATATCCCAATCCCAATCCCATTACCCCAATCCCAATCCCATTACCCCAATCCCATTATCCCAATCCCATTATCCCAATCCCAATCCCATTATCCCAATCCCCCTATCCCTGTCCCGTGTCCCGTGTCCCGTTCCCGGCTCCTCCCCCGGCTCTAATTTTAGGATCGGGCTCGGGATCGTTTCCAGCTCAG